TGTAGAGGGTTCTTCATATGCAGGCCTTTAGGAATGACACCCTGTTGCTTGCATTTGTTGTGAAAGAAGATGTCTGTATCTGAGCAAGTTTCTTGAAGAGGTTGATGAATTTCTGCTCCATTCAGCTAAATTTGGGCTGGGGAGTAGGAGTAAGGAGTAAGAGGTTTTTACAGGAGTAGGAGTAGGAATAAGGAGTAACAAAATATGTTACTCCTTATTCCTGTTATTGTATTGTACATTTAAATTTTAAACTTTACAATTTTGTTTTAGGTAATATGAATTTGTAAGCCTGTTAAAGTTAATTTTGAGAAATATTTTTATTGAGGAATGCAATAGGAATAGAGGTAGAAATAACATTAAGATAAAAATCTTACTCCTGAGTAGGACAAGGATTAACCCCAAAATCACCACTACTCCCCATCCCTGCTTTCCATAGTGGTAGAATTCAAAGATTATAGTCATGTTGATCTATAGAATCAGTATATATATAGAGAGAGAGATCTGTGAATTCTTGTAAAGGTTAGTTTATCATGCCTTTGTTCGCAAACAACCATTGTTGAAACTGGGCTTTCCACTTCATTTCCACACAAAGTATTCTGCATTGGAATTGACATTCTCACACATTAATGGCATATATACAAGGGGGTATCATAAAGTAATAATTATCACCCAGACATTATTATGGTATATTGATGAAATTTTGTCAGTGTCATCATTGGTCCCCAAGTGCATGATGTTGGGAAAACCAGCTCATTGTGTCCTTTATTTTTGTTGCAGGTTGTGCCAGAAGTGACTAAAGCGTAGCATGGAGAAGTACGAGGGGGTATCATAAAATAAATATTTTGATGAAATGTTGTCAGTGTCATCAGCACCAAGTGACTTTTTGTTTTCCCAAAAATGAAAAATCCATTGTGGGGTCACCGATTTGACAACACAGATTATGTCATTCGTTAATTGGAAGAGTGGTTTAAGGCACAATCTGCAGACTTCTACAGTAATAGTATTCAGAGGGTCAAGAAACACTGAGAAAAATGTATAAATCTGGATGGTGACTCCATAGAGATAAGTTAACAGCTACAAATCAAAACAAACTTTGTCAAAAAATTTTAATTAAAACTTTACAATACCCCCTCATAGGTTTGTCCCTAGGCTTACCACTCCACCAAATGCATCTGAGGAAGTAGACTTGAGTCTACAGAAGCTCATGCTGCCAACTTCTTTCTTTGGTTAGTCTCAAAGGTGCTACAAGATCTCTCTACTCAGGGATACATTGTTGGGTGCCTTCCAAGTCCTTTCTGACTTATGGCTTTGGAGACCAGGGTTTGAATCCTGGCTCAGCCATGGAAACCCACTTGGGGGACCTTGGGCAAGAAGTCCTTTTGCGGGGCCTGTCCTACATTTCTACCTCCTCCTCTTCAGGAGGAATGCCAAAGCATCCTCCATTTTGAGCATGATTTTACATTTGGTGCTTGTAGCTTTCATTTAGTAACTTTTCCCCCCTCTTGAACTCCTCCATTTTGCTGAGCCTTGTGTCCCTTTGTGGCAAGGACACCTGGTTATCCTGACTACAGCCATGCTGGCTGGCTGGGCAAGAAGTCACACTCCCTTTGCCTCAGGGTAAGGGCAATGGCAAACTCCCCTCTGAAGGAACTTGCCAAGAAAGCACTATGGTAGAGTCACTATAAGTCAGAAACTATAACACTATAAGTGAAGGCACACAACAAACAAAAAACGAACCTATCATGGTTTTTTTTTTCTTGGTATGTTTTGTCAGAGTGGGGTTTGCCATTGCTATCCTCTGAGGCTGAGTGAGTGTAACTTTTTGCCCAGCCGGTGTGGTTGTAGTCGGGATGGCCAGATGTCCTCACTGTAAAGGAAGACAAGGCGCCACAAAATGGAGGACATTCAAGAAAAAAAATCTTTAGCAGATGAAAGCTAAAGCACCAATATAAATGTAAATTCATGCTTCTTAGTCATGCTCAAAATGGAGGACATTTTGACTTTCCTCCTGTAAAGAAGGTTAAAATGTAGGACAGATCCTGTAAAAGGAGGACATCTGGTCACCTTGTTCTGCTGTGTTTCTGAGAGCCAGTGTGGCATAATGATTCAAGGGTTTGACTATGACTCTGGGGACCAGGGTTCGAATCCCTGTTTGGTCATGAAACCCACTGGCTGACCTTGGGCAAGTCACATTCTCTCAGCCCCAGACGATGGCAATGGCAAACCCCTTCTGAACAAATCTTGCCAAGAAAACGCCATGATAGGTTCACCTTAGGGTCTCCATAAGATTCCCCATTACAATATATGGATGTGAGAGCTGGACAATTAAAAAAAATAGGAGGAAAATCAACTCATTTGAGATGTGGTGCTGGAGAAGAGTGCTGAGGATCCAGTGGATGGCCAAAAAGACAAACACATGATTCCTGGAGCAGATCAATCCGGAAATCTCCCTGGAAGCCAGGATGACAAAACTTAGGCTAGTGTACTTTGGACACATCATGAGAAGACACGAATTGTGAGAAAAAACAGTATTGCTAGGAAAGGTGGAGGGAAGTAGAAAGAAAGGAAGGCCACATGCTAGATGGATGGACTCTATTAAAGAGATCATGAGTATGAATCTGTAGGAGTTAAACAGAGCAGTGGAGGACAGGGAGTCTTGGCGATGCTGGCGAAACGTTAGGAATAAAATCTTCTAGAACATAGCCACATAGCCTGAAAAACCCACAAAAAACTATTGAGAAAACCATCTCCCTTGTTTTCATTAGACATGACTGACAGTGCTGGAACCAAGAAAAAGCTCTCCAAGAAATAAGGCATTCATATAAGTGCATTCATATAAGTAGATACAGGGCCTTTACAGACTGCCAGAAATAATGCAGCTTGAGGCCACTGTCCTGGCTCAGTGCTAAGGAATCATGGGAATTGTAGTTTATTGTGGCACCAGAGCTCTCTGACAGTGAAGGCTCAGTGTCCCAGAAAAAAATACAATTCCCATGATTCCCTAGCACTGAGCCAAGACAGTTAAAGTGGCTTCAAACTGTATTATTTTTGGCAGTTTGTAAAGGCACACAGTCTTTAGGTAGACCTGATCTAAGCTCTGCAGGGTTTTAAAGGTTGCAACTAGAATTTTGAATTCTGTGTAGAAATCAGCTGGTAGCCAGTGAAGCTTTTTCAATGAGGGAGTTAAATGTTCCCTTGTTTATGATTCTGTTGTGTGTTTTTCAGATACTGTGTAACCAGAAGATTGAACTGGATGATCCCAAAGGTTTTTTCCAAGTCTGATTCTGTTCCAGTCTGTATTTGATTGAATTGAACTTTGGAAAACAGTTGCTGCTGGTTTTTTGTTTGTTTTGTTTTATGTTTTAAATCTTTTGAAGGCTGTGTGCTCTGGAAGGTATTTTTTTTTAAGGTAAATCTTTTAAATGAATAAAAATGTTTATATTTACATAAAGCCACACAGTAACCTTCCTCTGGACTGGCTGCACACAGTAATGAAATACTGCACAATACCATAAAAGAACTATTTGTGACATGAAATATAGTAAAAAAATTACAGAGTAAAAGGTAATTAACATGTGTAGCAGATAACTGGTTTAAAGTACTAACATACTTTTAAAGAGCCCTGGAGAATAAAAAAAGTTTCACCTGACATCAAAATAACCATAAAGGCACTTGAATATATTTGTACAACACACTACAGTCCTAATTAACTATCTAATTTCTCTTTTTTCCTACACAGTGTATTCCTAACTTGTTTGATATAATTCTGTTCTCAAACTCCTAGAGCCTTTTCCTGGACTTCTATAGCTGGTTCTTTGCAGGGATGATAGCTGCTCTTACCATAAGAGCCCATTAAGTCCTATTATATCCTGATTCAAAGACAGTAGGATGCATGAATGAGGAAGATTGATTGTGTTAGTCATTTAAGGTGCAATCCTATATCTACTTACCTGGGAGGATCCTTCATGAAATCAGTTGGACTTGCTTGTGGCTAGACATGTATAGGATTTTGTTGTTAAAAGTTTAGCTCTTAGTGTCTAGAATAGGTTAGGGGTTTTTTAATGGTCATACCAAATGTTTGTGTATTGGGGCTGTTCTTACAAACACAGGTAACGCTTGGCAGTGTCTCAGTATATGTTTCAAAACTGGATTGAACAGTATATGGTCATTTGAGTGACATTCACTTCTTTCCAGTAAAGAATCCAGGTTATTGGTTAATCTTGTGAAATAATTCAAATAATTAATGAATTTTACCCAAAGTATCTTGCTCAGGAAGATTTAAAAAAAAAAACAGATTTTTTTTCCCTTCAGTTGGGATTCTGTGTTTCTACTTTTTTGCTAATACACAGAAGTCTCAAGAGAAGCAAGACTGCCTTGGTTGACCTTATCTCTTTTCAAGATCTCATTTACAGTCTGAATATACTATGCATGCAATATAATGCAGACAACATAGTGAAAACAATGTGGTGAATGCTACCACTCATTATATTGAATACAACTTTGCATACCTGAGTTGAGACAGGATAGGAGCTCAACTGTCTATTGCATTTCATGTTTTAAAATGAATTGTAAAAGCCAAAGAACCAGTCTTCATATTATATGTGTGTTACACACCCATTTTATTCATTCCTCAGAAGGAATATCTCAGACCTCTTAAATGTGGTAACATATGCGAGAAAGGAAATAGCAGTTTGAAATCACATATTCAAAGCATGCCCACTGCACAGTTCTCAGACTTGATCCAAGCAAAATTGCTATAAGGAAATTAATGCTACATTAGCAGGCACATTTTAATTTCCTTTCAAAGCCCTTGGTACCTCCCTTAAATTATTTCCTTAAGATAAAGATTTGAGTGAACTAGAAAGTGCCTAGTATAAGCCCCTCATAAGCCCTGTTATCCTTATTAAAAATGGGGGAGGGCATAAATCCTATCATATCATTGTTACATTTTGTCAGTCATACAAATTAAAACATTTTATGTACATCTCTAATTGTTATGACATGTTGCTATGTTCAACAACTTTTTTCCAAAATTATTTTCTTTTTCTTGAGCAGTAGTATAAGAATATGGTTTGTTTATGTGGAATGTGTAAATACTGGAAATGAGGTTTTGGTAGCTAGTAAAGTTCAAGGGAATAGCAGAATTGAGAGCATTACTAATATTTAGCGAACGTCTGTTAAATGTTTCTGAATATTAAGAGTTATACATTTGAACACATTCAGGGGTAGCTATGTTAGCCATTAGCAAATTCAAACAAAAATCCATCTTTATTGGCCAACCAAAATGTACAATATACTTGTTGCAAGCTTTTGACACTTCATGGGCTTCTTCATCAGGCAAGATGTTATCATTGGAGTCTTAGTTCACATGAAGCTCTCTGTGCACACTGGATTCCAAGATTAACTTTGCTTTTTTTAATAAACATTTCTCCTTTCTGCTGCCTTTATACTTTCCTCTATATCAGGGGTAGGCAACCTTTCCCCTTTAAGGGCCGAGGGACTTCAGCTCCCAGAATCCCAGGAGCTATTGGCCAACATGGCTGAGGCTTCTGACAGCTGAAGTCCCTCGGCCCTTAAAGGGAAAAGGTTGCCTACCCCTGATCTATATGGACAAACATCTCTGGTAGTTCAGTGAAATTAAAAATAAAATTTGAGTAAAATTGCTAATTTGGGGGATCTAGAGTCTGAGGGCAGCAGCAGGAGTCTTAAGGAATTGCTGTGCATCTCAGATCTCCTGGCTGTTTTTTGTTTTTTTAAATCACTGTAATGCTGGAAGAAGAGGAAGTTTGTCTTTAGTGTGTGATTAGAATTCGGCCACCCAACTCCATCATGCCCAGCGGAAGCCAGAGTTCAATAACTCAGCTTGAAAGTGTTTGTATGTGCATACAAGCAAGGGGAGAAGACCAAAAAGGGCTAATGGATTTATGCACTTGAGCCCATCATGCCTTTCAAGCTCAGCTGGTGAGCATTCCTGCTGCAATGGTGGCTCAGATACCTATGTTTCCCTTATGTCTGTTTACATAATAAGCTGGCCCACACTCCAGTCTAGCCCTGTTCCCAGTTGCATACATGACATCACAAGGGCCCACCTCCTCGTCTTAGTTTCAGGGCCTGAACTCTCGGGAATTAAACCTTGCGAACTTGGCAGTCTTAATAAGCAGCTAGTGCTGATTTACCAGAAATATTTAGTATGCATTGTATTGTTGTGTGCCTTCAAGTAATTTCTGACTTAGGGTGACCCTATCGTGGGGTTTTCAGGGACAGAGAGTTGCCCAAGGTCACCCTGTGAGTTTCCATGGTCAAGTAGGAAATGTATGTATGTGTACAAAATGCCATTTCTGATTTTCTTTTTTCACAAAAGTTGTGAAGGTTTGAGGGATTTCTCAGCAGAAACCCTAGACATAATCCTTAATACACTAAGGCCCGAAACATAGGGGCCAAAAGGTGCGGCTTCTGGCCGCTTCAGGGACATGTCATGCAGGTGACACATGCCCCTGACTCAGCCAGAAGACACTCTGAGGCTGCTGGCAAAAAGAGTGGCAAAAATCTGCTCCTTGCCAGTGGCCTGTTTGGGACCACAATGGCAATCCACTTTCATTGTGGTCTTCGCCAATTGCGGGCTGATCACAGCTGGAATGGCCAGAGGCCTGCTTCGGCCCACTGTATGCTTTTCTTGGAATATTTATTGAGATGTGTATTAATATGCAGTGCTTCTTGAGACTACAAATTAGGTATGTCTGTGATGCTACTTCAACATCCATTAAAACAGGCTCCTTAATTGAGGAACATCTTGTAACATGATAGAAGTGCTTTCAGATATTTTACTCTTTTATCAATTGTTGTGTTGTTAATTAAGAGAAATGCTTGGTCTCTCAGATTTTTAAAACAACATTTGTAGTTTGGATTGCTGTAAATAAGTTTTGGGTTTTTTTAAAAAAATACATAATCTCTGAGAACGATTTGATGTTGTTATTGCAATGTTTAAACAAAGACTTGGCATTACCTTGGAGTACAGTCCAAAATCATTGGTTGTATATCCCCACATGCATTGCACTGCACAAGCCTTTCTGCTTTAGAAAGCTTTTGGGGGCAGGGTGTGCATTTATGGCAGGGGTAGGCAACCTTTCCCCTTTAAGGGCTGAGGGACTTCAGCTCCCAG